CTGCGACCCGCGATCCACAGTGTTCCCTGCCGGACCTCAACCACGACCATCCACGCCCAATGTTCCCTGCCGGACCTCAACCACGACCATCCTCGCCCAGTGTTCCCTGCCGGACCTCAACCACGACCATCCACGCCCAGTGTTCCCTGCCGGACCTCAACCGCGAGTATCCCCGCCCAGTGTTCCCTGCCGGACCTCAACCACGACCATCCACGCCCAGTGTTCCCTGCCGGACCTCAACCGCGAGGATCCATGCCAAGTGTTCCCTGCCGGACCTCATGTAGGAAGATATGGGACAAAGAATGTGCAGAAGAAAGTTAGAAAGAATGTCAGAAAGAATGTCAGAAGATATGCCAGAAGACATGCCAGATAGAATGCCAAATAGAATGCCAGATAGAATGCCAGAAGATATGTCAGAATATATGCCAGAAGATATGCCAGATAGAATGCCAGATAATATGCCAGAAGATATGCCAGATAGAATGCCAGAAGATTTGCCAGATAGAATGCCAGAAAATATGCCAGAAGATCTGCCAGATAGATATGCCAGAAGATATGCCAGAAGATATGCCAGAAGATATGTCAGAAGATATGTCAGAATATATGCCAGAAGATATGTCAGATAGAATGCCAGAAGATATGCCAGGTAGAATGCCAGAAGATATGCCAGATTGAATGCCAGAAGATATGTCAGATAGAATGCCAGAAGATATGCCAGATAGAATGCCAGAAGATTTGCCAGATAGAATGCCAGAAGATATGCCAGAAGATATGCCAGATCATATGCCAGAAGATATGCCAGATAGAATGCCAAATAGAATGTCAGAAGATATGTCAGATAGAATGCCAGAAGATTTGCCAGTAAGAAAATGTATAAATGTCATGGTGGGGATCACACGAAGTAAAGTAATTTATTTTTGGTGTTGTTTTGCTTTGGCGCGGAGATCCGCTTTTGGAGCAGCAATTTCTCTTGTCAGGGCGCGTACTTTTTTTCCTGTCTTGCAACTCAATATTATTCAATATTTGCAGGTCGCATTGCCATGGCTGCATCGAGGTTCCTTGGTGCTGTGCCTGTGCGGGTAGTTCTGTGGTGTTTCGCAACAGGCGTTGTAAATCCCATTGGAGCGGCTGCGTCAAGGTTGCATTGTCTTTGTGATGTTTCTTCTTTTTGGCGCTGAGTTTCCATATTTATAATTGGGCATTCCGATTGCTCCGTGTTTTTACAAAGCGCTCCCCTCGAAATTGTGTTGTCTCTGTAGTGCCGTGTCCATTTTTGGGAGCGCTACGTTGCGCGACACATGGCGCAATACCTTGGACTCTTTGGTCTCTGTGGCAGGTGGTGAATTTCTATGTGTTGCAGGCACGTTGCAAAAACGTTGCGTTGTCAAGTGGATAGAACGTAAAAAAAATGTATTCAACATGGCAGATGCACCTCTTGGACGATGCTTGAGTTTTTCAACAATTGTGATTTGCCGGAAGAGCCTTATTGGTTGAGGTGTTCCACATGATAATTTCCTGCATTTGGCCGGCACATCAGACGCTTCATTTTTTGCCGGGCAAGCAGAATGCTTTCAAAGCCTGACTTCCAAAGTGCCCAAATGCTAACAAGACTACGTCTTTGAAAAAGTGGCTGTTCGCGACCTAAACTGTATTTCTAGCTCTTCTCAACTTTTGTCAGCTCCTTTAACGTCGGTGCCAAGGAAGTTTCTCTCCCAACCAGGGCATATGTCACAAAATGTTTGCCAAGATAAGATGTGAGAAGTAGAAATTCATAGAAATTCTGTCACCCACTCGTAAGATGTCATGCTTGGAATTTCTGCACTACGTATCGCCATTTTAGGCTGAGGCTTAGGTCGACGCTCAAGGGGAAGACTCCCCGCACACTAGTGGGTCTTAGTCTAAAAACGCCATGGATCATACTTCAGGGTTTTGGTGACAGTCCACTGATGTTTTATGGTGCCAACCGGTGAGTCTAAGAGAGATCTTGCAACGGGGCCCCATTCTACCAGCAGACATGCAGATGTCTTCTGAGACAATCCTTACAAACAACATCAGTGCAAAACAGGCACTGCTCCATATTCTTTCCATATTCGATACCGTATTTGTTTTGGATGAGTTTTGCAGCATTCCTGTCACGACTCGGTCCTTTTGCCACCGTTTATGTGAAGAGATAGTTCAGGAACTGACGCACAGACGTTTTCAGAAGTCTTTGTACGGTGGCGATTGAATTTCTAATTGGCTGGTTTTTTCCTCTGCGGTATAAATCTCACAGAACTGCTCCTTTCTTGGAAAGTTTGTTGGCGGTTATGATGGCTAGCCGTTCTTTACTGTGGGTCCGGGGCCGTTTCTGGTCTGACCATGGCCGGGGGATTTTGCGACTTTTTTCTCCGGATCAACAACGTGCACTTTGTTGCTTAGGGGAACTTCGTGAGAGAAGACTTTGTTAAGCGGATCTTGTTTGGAAACAAATGCATTTTTTCCATACCGGGACTGTTTCTTTTGGATTGTAGAAACTTGTGTAAAGGTAGCTTAGAGATAGGACAAATGGCTTTGGACAATGTTGACAAGGCGCAAGGTACCGTTGCTTAGCCACCTTCGTTCTACTAGCAAAAAGTTGGCTCGGGCAGACCAGTTGTGATTTGATAACGTATGTCGCGAGGGCAAGTTTCCTTGGACAATGCGCACTTTGTTGCGCCTATGATCTTTTTCCGGAGGTGTCAAGGCCGTGCTGTCATTTTCTACCTTGTTGTGCCCATATGTGTTCTCCCCGACCCCCATTCTGACCCCGCAATTTGAAGGGGTGTTACAGTTACAGGATGTTACAGGCAAGTGTAAAGGGCTGCGTTGTCATTTAGTAGGCATTGTTCGCACACAAGGACCACCTTTGTCATTGTTTCTGGACCATGCACGTCCACAGATTACTGCGTCCAGAGCGCCGTCGATCCGGACACTCACCCTTGTGAGATCATTACTCCCCCAATGCCCCTCTACTTCCTTGACTTTGATACAGATTGGACTGATTACTTGGTGGTGAACGGTCAAATGTATACGGGCAACCAGGCGCCGCCACAGGGCATCACCACAGAGATGATCGGCTGGACCCCGAGCGCAAGTGCCTACGGCTGGCCTGGTTATGGATGGCATGCTTGCACCATGTCTGGATTGAAGCCCGGCGATTTTAATTTCAATTGTAGCTTGCCAGTGCAACAGCACTTGTTATAAAGAAAGTTTAGCGATGAGAAATGTCCAAGTTCCGGACAAACACAATGTGCGCCTCAGCTCACCAACTCAACCCCCACCGCCGACCACCCAGTAAGTCAAAGAGAACTGTCGCACCATGATATAATGTTACTTGTCTGCTAGTTCGAATAGCTGGTTGGGTTGGTTCATGAGACAAGTAAGAGCCAGCAAGTGCGCGAAACACCCGTGCTTTCGCATTTTTTGTTACCCAGGGCTGCTCAAACTGCTTAAGCAATGAGTTTTGGGGTGCATAAGGTGAGGGTCCCTGAATATTTTGATATGGTAGGGTTCCGATTTCCTATTTATTTTCAGGATATAGTTGGGATTCATCAAATTCTTTTACTGTGCATTCTTTTGCAGTGAGCTGCACAAACTGAAGATACAAGTCGGCCCTTGGAGCCTTGAAACAGTTATTCACGGAATCTTTCAGTGGGCAAGTCTGCTTCTCAACCATTTACTCACTGATTTTTGGGTCATTCAACAAAATTTTGATGTTAGTAAGCAGCTATTCCCGTAATTTCCCAAAGGTATACAAACTATTTTTCCCTTACACTTGCTGATTTGGTTTCCATGCCACCTGCAAGCTGTGACCAAATGGCCCTCCCTGATAGACAATAGGATATGTTCTTCTCCAATCCACAGACACTTCAAGCTGTCGATATTGCACAACTTGCCAGACGCTTCGCCCAAAAAACCGAGGCCTCTGGAGAAAGCCGTTTCTTGCACGTTTGATGCTGATAGCTGTGGGTGGAACTTTGGTCCTTCAATGTGGCATTCCAATGGTTTCGTCCACAGTGACCAACACTCTTGGATGCGAACAGACTTGCATTTACCATTGGCTCAAGTTCAACAACTGAATTTTGCATACCGTTTGGTTCCACTCTACACCAGCTTTAAATTTATCCTCCAGTGTTTGACGTCCGTGTTTTCAATGGATGCAATACAGTCAATGGCTTGGAAAGCAATATGGAGTGGTGGGAGTAGTGGTCCAGAGGACGGGTGGCGCCAAGGCAAAGCTTTCGTCCCACGAAGCGTGGTTGCTTTGAAGTTTGAGATGTTTGGGGCTGAAGTTTCAATTGACAGCATTTTCCTGGTACAGCCTGTCTCCGTTCCATATGCCCATGTGGTTGTAGGAGGGGATCATGCCTGTATCTTACATGTGTCCGTTCAACAAATCCGTTGCTGGGGGAACAATCAATATGGCCAACTTGGCCAGGGTCATGGAAACAACATCGGCAGTGGTCCAAATCAGATGGGTGACAATTTGCCTGCCGTCAATCTCGGGACTGGCCGGAGTGCCAAGCATGTCGCAGCTGGAATGTATCATACATGCGCATTGCTCGATGATGATTTCATCAAGTGTTGGGGGCGCAATGCTGACGGCCAACTTGGCCAGGGTCATGGGAACGACATCGGCAGGAATCCAAATGAGATGGGGGACAATTTGTCCACTGTTATTCTTGGGACCGGGCGGATCGCCAAGCATCTTGCAGTTGATTCTTGCGGGTATCATACATGTGCATTGCTTGATGATGATTCCATCAAGTGCTGGGGGCGCAATGGTCAGGGCCAACTTGGCCAGGGTCATTGGAGCAACATCGGCAGTGGTCCAAATCAGATGGGTGACAATTTACCATCCGTCAATCTGGGGACCGGCCGGAGTGTCAAGCTTGTAGAACCTGGAGCTTTCTTTACATGCGCATTGCTTGATGATGATTCCAGCAAGTGCTGGGGGTACAATATTTACGGCCAACTTGGCCAGGGTCATTGGAGCAACATCGGCACTGGTCCAAATCAGATGGGTGACAATTTGCCTGCCGTCAATCTCGGGACTGGCCGGAGTGCCAAGCATCTCGCTTGTGGAGCGCATTATACATGCGTATTGCTCGATGATGATTCCACCAAGTGCTGGGGGAACAATTATTTTGGCCAACTTGGCCACGGTCATCAAAACACCATCGGCTGGGATGCAAGTCACATGGGTGACAATTTGCTCTCTGTCAATCTGGGGACCGGCCGGAGTGCCAAGCACATCGCGACTGGCCATTCGCATACATGCGCGGTCCTCGATGATGATTCCATGAAATGCTGGGGATATGGTTTTGAAGGCAATCTTGGCCAGGGCCAGCCAGATGACATCGGCACTGCCCCGAATCAGATGGGTGACAACTTGCCGCCTATTGATTTGGGGACCGGCTTGCGTGCCAAGCATTCTTCACCTGGATGGGCTACTACTTGCGCATTGCTTGATGATGATTCCACAAAATGCTGGGGATATGGTGGCTCTGGCAACCTTGGCCAGGGCAATGCTTATAATATGGGGGATAGTGTGAACAGCATGGGAGACAATCTTCCTGCAATTGATTTTGGTGCTGTCGGGCTGGGCATCCGAACTGACATCCGAATTGTCGATGGTACCAAGATGCACGGCCGCATTCAAGTCCAATACCAGAATTCTTGGCGTGATATTTGTGATGACAGCTGGAGCAACAACAATGCGCAAGTTGCGTGCCGCCAGCTTGGTTTGGCAGGTGGCGTTTCGAGCTTTCAGTGGCACGGAAGCGGAGATTTTGGAATGGATGAAGTTGTTTGTGGAGGCACTGAGGTTGATTTGGGCCAGTGTTCCTTTAGAGGCTGGGGCATCCATGACTGCACGGCTCAGGAGGCAGCTGGTGTGGAATGTAATGTTGATGCTTGGAGCAGAATATCGGATCCCAATATTTCCGCTCGAAAAGGACACTCCGCAATCTGGGATTCTATTGAGGGGTCTATGTTGGTGTTTGCTGGACATGCTGCGGGTTTTTTCCAGTATTACAGTGATCTGTGGCGATACACACGAGATGGTCTGTGGGAAAGACTTCAGACTGGACCTTCACCCAGAGGTGGCCACACGGCAATCTGGGACCTTGCTTCCCGCACGATGTTGGTGTTTGGTGGAAGCTTCTACACAACTTATTATGATGAGTTATGGCTCTACAGCGACAAGAGCAACGCATGGACTCTTTCTTCTCCCTCTACCAAACCCAGTGCAAGAGCTTACCACTCTGCAGTGTGGGACTCTGCTGGTCAGATGATGTTGGTGTTTGCGGGTGAGAGTGGTGCCACCCTCCAGGATTTCTGGCAGTACCATCTTGTGTCGAATCACTGGAAGGAATTTTCACCATCCTCCAATAAGCCCTCAGCCAGGAGCAGACACACTGCAGTCTGGATGGATGGTTTAGGGGGCATGCTCATGTTTCCAATTCCTGGACTTTGCTGTCCTCAGATCCACCATCCAGTCGTGCTGGCCATGCGGCAATCTGGGAGCCTCTGACTTTATCCATGCTGACCTTTGGTGGCGTTCAACTGGATGAATCTCTCAACTATTCAGCAGAACTCTGGAACTACAGTCTTTTGACCAACAGCTGGAGCCCCTTGGCACCTGTTGGACCATATCCAAGTCCTGGTCCTCGAGAAGATCACACTGCAGTGTGGGATCCAAGCTCGGGGTTTCTATTTTTGCTTGGTGGTTTTGATGGATCCTACAAATCTGATTTCTGGAGATACAAAAGCATGGACTTCGAGCAGGTACCCGTCAAGGAGTGCGCCCTTGGGCAGGAGTGTACTTTGCAGTTCAAAGATGAAAGCTTTGAAGAGGGCGAAAGACTTCAAGTTGTGGATGTTTTGAATGGTTTGAACTCACACATCTTCATGACATCAGATGGCTACAACTTCTCATTGTCTCTCGAAAATGCCACAGAGGGTCCTGAAGAAAGCGATGGAGTTGACGACGGCCCTTTTTTGCTTGCTGAGCCTGGCTTGTACCAGATTCGTCATTGCTTTGGGGATTCCACATGTGATGGCCAGTGGTTCGCACTCGGATTGCTGCTTGTGGTCGGACCCTTCTCAGGCCAGTCGTTTGTTTGTGACATGGGATCACGTTGTGCGATTACAGGCTTGCAAGGCTCCCGACTCTCAATGACTGACCAGCTGCTTGCATTGAAGGAATGTGGAACATCAATCCATACTTCGACCTTTGAACCAAGGCCAATCAATGCTTCGCAGGCGCAAACAGACTTATTGTTTGATTTTGGCAATGTGGAGCTGGAAGGCTTGGCGCCGGAACAGGTGCAGCTTTGCTGGTGCCCTGAGGGCTGTAGCGACCTGCAAGAGTTTCGGGCTTTGGCAATGCTCTTGTATGTGGTTTGCCCTCCAGGACAGCGGGGCATGAAGCAGTAGACAAACACCAAGAGTATCAGAATGAAGGAGAAAAATGTCATGAAATTTCCATACACACCGGATGACTTCATTCAAGTGTGCTGAATCATGATAGCAGTTGTTGCCTCAGACTGTTACGTTTGCTAGGCGCATGGCCCCTCATTTTGTTCCATAAGGTCTTTGGTCCACTGAGTGTTCGATGTCCACTTCTGGTATTTTGATGTATATATAATATATATGCTGTGGTGTGTAGAAGGACATTGTAGGTTTCTGTTGTTGATTGTAGGTGGTTATGGCAAGTTGCAGTAGTTTTTGTAAATCGTGTTGAGTTGTGTCATGTTGGCTATGGCTCTTTCGCCTATGTTCACTCCCTTGATCAAGGAACCACAAACATAGATCATCTTCACCCTTCTTAGTTCTTCTTTGGTTTCAACATCATGTGATGATATGGGTCTCATTTGCTGGTTCTTGGGCGGGCGATCGAACATGTCAGGGTGCTAGAAGCAAGCATGTTTCTCTTGAAGCATGGGGACAATACTTCTTGACAACAGCAAATCAGTAGAAACCTAGAGTAATGCGCTTTGCCGAGGTTCACGTTTCAATGGGCGCCAGGTAATGTGCCAAACAACGCACGTTTGGATATGCGTTTGACAAATCTTGTAGATGCTAGCTAGCTTCTCCAAATTAGTTGCATGTAGTGTCCACTCAAAGATTGTGGTGTTTGTCCTTGTCATGCTGGAGACCACGCAGATAAGGAAAAAATCACGGCAGCCATGTGTCCACTGAATGTCTTGTATTCTTGATACTTCTGATCCCCTTTCTCTGGATGCCTGTTGTGATTTGTGCCCTGCTTGTGCACGCTGTTTCGTCACCTTGCTACTCTCGTAGTGATTCCTTCTCTGTCGAACCTCATTCATGCCAATGCCGCGGAATAGGTTACTGGTGGTGTTAAAGGAATTGCAACCTTCGCCAATTGCTGAAATGTATATACAAGATCAGAGTTGTTCTTTCGAGTTCTTTCATGTCCCTACCTTTGCATTTCAAGACTTGTAATGGCATTCTTAGCCTTGGTAGTTTGAATCGGGTTCCATGATAGCAATATGAAACCATATTGTTTCCTCGTTCGGGTAGGGAACGACAAGAAATGCAATCAGTGCATGTCAGTGTTGACAATTTGTGCGCCTTGGCCACCTCCAGGATGGTATGAACTGCGCAGCATGACCTCCAAATGCCACAAATGTCCTCCTGGAAGCTACTGCCCTGGTGGCAGAGCGATGGATTTGCATGAATCAGTGCTCCATGAGTGTCCACAAGGAAGCACTTCCCCGAGCGGTTCTGCTTCCATAGAAGCTTGTCAATGCAGGCGTGGCTATTTCTGGGACTTGCAGATTGGTGCGTGTTCATTGTGCCCTCCATGGCATTTTAAGAACCACACCGGTCCTGATCTGTGCACGAGTTGTCCACAGCCAAGGGTTTCGAAAGAAGGTGCCATTGGATTGCCGGAGTGCTATTGCCCTGCTGGCACAATCGGCACGGATTTCAGTGGTAGTTTCAACTGTGCAGACCTTTCCGTGTTAGGAGATGCTGTCAGCACTGATGCTTTTGCGCTGACTGAAGCATTGATGTACAGCTTCATTGGTTCGGTGGCATCATTCAGTGGTCCATTGGAGATGGTCCGTCTAGAGCTTGTTGACTACCTGGGTCTCAGTCGCAGGGCATCCTTGCTGCTGACAGACAATGTGGATGAAATCAGCTACAAAATCATGACATCTGAAGAAGAAGAGGCGGCAACCCTCCATGCTAAGATGGACCCGCCTGTTTTTGCTGCCTTCCGATTTGCGAGTGCAACTGCAACATTGACAAGTGACATGCATGTGACCAGGAGTCCTATTGCCTCCTACATCCTCCGTTGTCCAGATGGCTCGGGATTCGTGAGTAGCAGTTTGATTCGAAACCAGTCAGATTGCAAGTGCCTTCACGGAATGGAGCCAATCAGTGAATCAGGTTTTGGAAGCAGTTGCACCAAATGCCCTCGGGGTAAGCACAAGTCGACTGTGGGGGATGTAATGTGTTCGTCATGCGGCGGGCTGACAACATTGCTGGAAGGAGCCATCTCTGCGGCAGCTTGCACTTGCCCAGCTGGATTCATCAATGAAGCCCTTGATGACCCCACCAACTGCCAGCCTTGCGGAAAAGGTTTTTACTGTAGTGGTGGAAAGCACAAACAAGCCTGTGGGCAATCTTTCACAACTGTGACAGCGTCTGCAAGAGAGGCGGCAGAGTGCGTTTGTGCCCCAGGTTTTTTTCGGGTTGACTCCGTGTGTGAACCTTGCCCACAGGGCACATTCAAAGAAGACATTGGTGATGCGGCTTGCCAGCCATGCCCTGCGGGAAGATGGAGCAATGAATCTGCTGCAGCGCATCAAGATGCCTGCAATTTCTGCAGTGAAGGTTCTACAACTTCTGCAGAAGGAGCTCGAGATTTGAGTTTTTGCGTCAGGCCACAGTCAGGACAGCTTGTGCAGTGTACATCCGGCACCATATGCAGTGTGGAGATCGTGGGCTTCCAGCTACAAGACGGTCACCGTCTTGCCTTGACACAGTCAAGTTGTGACACTGGCATAGTGGCTCCATCCAGTGTTGTTGCCCAAGGCATTTCCAAGCCAGCAACGCAAAATGGTAGGAGATATGTTTGGGGCAATAACCCCAGTGACTTCAGCCCAGAAGGGGGCCTGTACAACTTGTGTTGGTGTGCCAGCATGCGAGGTCTTCTTTGCGGAAGTCTCCAAGAAAATTTCATTTTGTCAGCAGGCCAGCTAGAAGTCACTGGGCCTTTGGCCAATCACCAATTCGACTGCGTTCGGGGTCAGGACTGTTCTCACCTTACCGCCTTTCAGGGACATTTGCTGTCACTACAGAACCAAGTCGCAGTGCGCAATGCATGTGGTGGTCCTGAACCTCTTTCCGTGGCATTGGCAAATCCGAATGGGACCGGTAGTCTTTCTACTTCAGGTGGCAAGTTTTCCCTGTCTTTTGGGGAAGTCTTGTTGGATGCAGATGAATCCTATTCAATATGTTGGTGCAGCCAATCATGCAACACCGCCTCAGATTTTACAGTTCTGGCTGGCCATTTGCAAGTCTTGGGCCCTTATGCGAACCAACGGGCAGACTGCTTCCTGGGCCAGAAATGCCGCTTGGAACAGATCAGAGGGGTTGGCTTGATGACAGGCGATCAGATTATGCTTCGTACTGATTGTGAGACTGGACGGATGCTGACAGGCAGCCCCGGCGATGGAATCGCTTCACGCAATGAACCTTGGAATCCAAGAAGCAAATTTTGCTCCGCAGACCCCCGATTCAATATGCAGAATTGCTCCAGTGTTGGGAGCAACCCTGAAATAGATCCGGAGTCAACAATCATCGAAGCTTTGTTGTTTTCACTTAGTCTTAGTGCGAACTTTGTAGACATGATAGTATTTAGTATATGATAGTTTGGTTTGGGTGTGTATATAGATTTCCCCGGGTCGAATCAGGAAGCTGGAGATTTCGAATTTGGTGGTCACATTTTGACCTCCACAGCTGGCATTTTCAGTATGTGCTTCTGCAGACCAGGAAGATGTGACAATTATTTGGATTTCAGAGCTTCCCTCGGCTTCTTCACTGCACGTGGGCCCTTCCAAGTCAAAACTGTTTGCCACCAGGGGCAACCATGTGATTGGGAGTTGCTCGGTATAGGTTTGACTGTGGGAGATCGCTTGGTGTTCAGAGACCATAGCTGTAGCTCTTGGAGCAATGAAGCTGAGCCTTTCCAGGTTTTCATGGAGCTGGAAGAGCCTGTGAAAGTGAAGGATGATGGCAATGGACTTCAAGTAGATTTGGGGGTCCTACCTTTCACAGCAAAACCTGGGCCAGGAGCATATCAGATTTGCTGGTGTCCTTCGGATTTGCCTTGCACTTCAGCCGCGGAATTTCGTGCTTCTGCTGGAGACTTGCATATTGGTTGCCGACCAGGACTTGATCTTTTCTGTTTCTTGTGGAGGGTGTTCTTTTCAAACTTAGAGTCCGTCAAACTGTGTGTCCGGTAGGTTGTTGAGACAGAGGACTTGAAGATTTGGAAACAAACCTATTGACCAAGCCATCAGTTTCTTTGCAAAGTTGCCTTCTTGCTCGGCCATGGTACAGCTTGACAATATGGGAGCAGAGTCTATGGGGACATCAAACTTGTAGGAATCAAAGCATGCATGGGGACCTATGGAACAAAGGTGTGTGCGCGCGCGGGCGCGGGCGCGTGTGCGTGTGTGTGTGAGAGAGAGAGAGAGATTTTGGTTGATTGCGTGAGTGAGCAAGTGAGTGAATAAGCGGTTGAAAGATGTTTTAGAGCAAGCGTGCCTGCCCCTTGGTCAGGGAACGATGGCATTTTAAATGTTTGGAGGATGGTGCAGAACTCCTTTATGTTGTTTGACTGCAAGTGATGCGTGCGGTGGAAGAAATAAGCTTGAAATTTCCTACGTTTTACAGAAAATTACGGGGTAGGTGATTCAAATAAGCCTTGATCAATCTCGATCAATGAACCGCGAAAACCTAGACCGCACTAATGCAGCTATGATAGTTGTGCAATGCTGGGTCGCAAACTACTTATTTTGCAGTTCACGGTCCGTGAGAGTAAGCAAAACTGCAGCGCAAGCATTCCACTGTCACTACGACATTAAGGGTTTTGAACTGAATCTATCAAGCAAAATGATAGTTGTGTGAGTTGAGTACCGGGCTGGTTCTGGGACAGGGCAAACCAATTATTTAGTGACAGAGTGGGCAAGCAAAAATAATTGGTGAATTTCTGTCATATTGGGGCCATGTTGGAAAAAATGTTGAGCCTGTCTTCGGCCAAGAACGGCATGTTCTTTTTGGGCTTGATTTCAAGACTTAAAAGAACACGCCGTTTTTGGATGTTTTTGGGCCATGTCGGGGCCATGTTGGGCCTATGCTGGGCCTATGTTGGGCGCAAGAACAGCGTGTGCATTTAGGCCTTGGCACTACGGCCCAAATGCACACACAGTTTTTAGATCCCTGTTTCAATTTCCATACAGAATGGGTGGCCTTAAGGCCACCACAAAATTGGTTTTTATAGGTCATTTTGTAGTGAGGCCACCGTGTAAAAAGGTCCAGGGCCCACTTCAACTTTGGCAGACCATTGCATTTTGTAGAGAAAATACCGGGGCCATCCAGGGCCCATGGATGAAGATAGAAATTAATTTCAAAAAGGAATTTCCAAGGCTAGGCACTTTGTAGTGAAATTACCGGGTCCCACAGAGGATTCTTTTAAATTGGAACCCCTGCATTTTGTAGTGAATCCATTGGGTTTCTGGAAAACATGTAACATGTTTGTGATGTTGCTAAAGTATTCCACGCGTAATTCAATTTTTGAAATATCGACAGGCCCGGCCCAAGTATCGCCTGATTTGCCTGGTTTTTGTTTCTCTCTCTAACTGTCTCTCTTCTCTCTCTCTCTCTCTCTCTCTCCTCGCTCTTTTGTGTGTGGCGAGTATATTATGTGTTATACAGCATATGTTTGATTTTTGTGCTGTATAGCCACCCCCCATCACACCCCTACATATTTACTCAAATATTCTTTATATAATTAACTTTTTGAAATATTGATAAATCCAAATATCGCCTGATTCGCCTGATTATTTGTTCTCTATGTTTCTTTCTTTTTGCGTCTCATTTTTTTGTGTGTGTGTGACGAGTATATATTTTAAACGCATATATTTTATTTTTTTATTGTATAGCCACCCACCACTACGCCCGTACAAAATGACAGGTCTTCTGCCAGAACGTCTACAATATGGACTGGTGTGTTGTTGTTTACCTTCTTTAAGAAAGATCGCAACAATTTTTAGTGAAACTATTCTCTCCCATGTCATGCCCCTACAAAATGACAAGTCCCTTTCGAAACCCTACAAAATGGGTTGCTGTTCTTGTTTTCTTGCTTCACATGCTTCAAGAGGTCTGGCTCCAGACTGCGCAGGATATACTTGCGAGCATTTACACTTTTTCTGTTCCCCCATCTTACCTACAAAGTGAGAGGTCCCCGTCAAAATAGCTATGATATAGTTTGGCGCTTTGTTATTTCCTGTGCATATAGTCATATAGCTGAAGACACCCCAAGAGAAGTACCACAAATAAAATTTGAGTCAAAGGTCATACTTAGCATTTGTGTGGTGTTTCCATTCCCACGTCCCCCATCATGCCATATCATGCCCCTACAAAATGACAGGTTTCCTTCCAAGCACCTACAAGATAGGTTGGCGTTGTGGTTATCTTTTCTTTTTCTCAAACATGCAACTTAAGACTTTAGACTGTTCAAAGCTGTTTGGGTTCTTGACACCCATCATGTGGTTCCTTCCAAAAAACACAGACACACACTAGACAAGAACTGGATCATTGTAGTGATCCGTCAGGAACTGAATCCTGTAACATGCAATAAGATTAGTTATAAATATATATATATATATATCGCAGGTACGTCGGGATGATCAGTCCGGATATCACAATCTCAAACCACCGTCTTCGTTGGGCAGTGGATGGAATGAGATTCACTGCCCCCCTGCAATAAATAGACGACGGCACCAGAAGTTTTATGTCTATTCAGACGTTACACACACACACACACACACACCCTGCCTCCGGCAGGGTGGTGCGCGTAAAAATGAGATGAAGATGAGGATGAACGGGGAATGAAAATGAGATGAGAATGAAGAGGAGATGAAAGTTACTTAACCAGGACGCGAAGAGGGGAACGCAAAAGAAGAGGGAAGGAGCAAACACACCCAAACACACCTAGCCCGGAGCGGGCAAACATGAAAAGGCAAGGGAAAAGAAAAAAGCGGAGGCCGACGATGGCCGACGGACACGGACCAAGACCAGCGGAGGGGGGGCAAGACGGAAGCGCCTGAACCAACTTGACACAGCGAAAACCTACAAAACCTCAGCACGCGACGGAACCGACCTACCTGGGGAGGGAAGAAAGCATGAAATAGGGGACCAATGGGGAACTAGTTGGTGAAAACACAGAAAAACAAAAACCAGGACTCAGTTCCTAGATACCTAAGAGTCGTGCGTTATGCCCCTTCGGGCCCGTGTTCAGGTCAGCCACGAGGGCATAAAACGGCTGTTCAAGTTCCATCGAATTAGGTGCACAATATGTTGGACCTCACCAGAGAACCAAAAAAGGAAAGAATCACCACACCTGAAGGTATGAACCTGCCTGGATGTTTGCACATGTCATGTTGTACTTCAGAAGCTGAAGCTGCAGTAAAAACGGAGTTTCTAACTGTTCCGAACAACTTCACACTGGCAGAGATGCATTCCGTAAGATTCACTGGGACAGCCGGGACGGCGGGACTTGTGAAAAGGTGCATAACCGCAAGGCCGACTGTTACAATTTACTTAGATGAATCCGCCCACACCGCTTTGGCGGTGAAGGCGTGCTTATTGGGGGGCAACAGCAACACTAAATGCTCAATGACATTTGTTAATATAGCAGTCGCTATATCAGCTTTAGCTGGGGGGGGGGCCAAAAACGGTTTCGCACCGAGACCAGAATACGGTGGTGTTTTCGACATTTTTCGAGGATTTTTGGGTGTCTGAGCGCAAGAGGGTATTGAAATGGAATTTTGGGTCATTTTGGTAGCTTTCCGGCAATGGAAAAACGGCCAAAAATGAAAAAAAACATTGTACATAGCAAGATTTTGCAGGGTTTTTGGATGCCAGAGCATTGAAAACACTGCAAAAACAAGTGTTTTGGACTGACGTTATAGCAAAAAAACGTGTAAATTACCGTATGCTTGACTGGAAACATTACAAAAACACTGTCAAAAGCAATGTTTTGGAAGGATTTACTGCCTTTATGGCAAAAAACGTGTAAATTACCGTCTGTTTGACTGGAAACATTGGAAAAACACTGTCAAAACAATGTTTTGGAAGGATTTCTTATATATATATATATGTTGGAGTTGGCTACCGGCATTGGAACATGGAAAAATTGAAGAAAACACTGTAAATAGCGGTATTTTCAACGGTTGGGGAGATAAGGGAATTGGAAGCATTGTCGAACATGATGTTTTCGACCGGTTTTATGGCGACAAAAGTGTAAAGTACCGTGCTTTGAAGGAAACCATTGCAAAAACATGGAAACCCATTCAAAGAACACGGGATTTGGGGGACTATCTAGGCGTCGTTGTCTAGCAATTTGAAATTCCGCAGCTTGGAGAGCCTCCAAGGGAGGGAAAAGTGAAAATTCCATAGCTTGGGAAGCTGTCACGGCGGGAAAAAGTGAAAATTCCCTAGCTTGGGAAGCCCCCACGGGGGGGAAAAGTGAAAATTCCCTAGCTTGGGAAGCCCCCACGGGGGGGAAAAGTGAAAATTCCCTAGCTTGGGGAGCCCCCACGGGGGGAAAAGTGAAAATTCCCTAGCTTGGGGAGCCCCCACGGGGGGGAAAAGTGAAAATTCCCTAGCTTGGGGAGCCCCCACGGGGGGGAAAAGTGAAAATTCCCCAGCTCGGGGAGCCCCCACGGGGGGGAAAAGTGAAAATTCCCTAGCTTGGGGAGCCCCCACGGGGGGGGAAAGTGAAAATTCTTAGCTTGGGGAGCCCCCACGGGGGAAAACCACCCTTAGCCCCTCTCACGGACCGAAATAAACCTGCGGTGTGGGCGGCCACCCCACGCGAAGCGGGGTGAATTACCAGATTAACATGTGTAAATTCGGAAGTCAGGACAGTCATCATTCACCCTGAAAAGGGTTGCCTCAATGGGCTCCATGGCACCATGTCGGAGCCACCATGGAAATCACACTAGACAAGAACTGGATCATTGTAGTGATCCGTCAGGAACTGAATCCTGTAACATGCAATAAGATTAGTTATAAATATATATATATATATATATATATCGCAGGTACGTCGGGATGATCAGTCCGGATATCACAATCTCAAACCACCGTCTTCGTTGGGCAGTGGATGGAATGAGATTCACTGCCCCCCTGCAATAAATAGACGACGGCACCAGAAGTTTTACGTCTATTCAGACGTTACACACACACAGAACAACATGATCACTTGCTAATTTGGTTCCTCATGGTTTTGAGTCTTGAGACCGGAAAAATTTAGCGAACCCTTCTGTGGTTTTACTCCCTTCAATCTGGGTTCTTGGTGCAGTTTGGGTTTACTACAAAATGGGTATCTTGAAATTGATCATGCAGATCGGTTTTGAATTTTTTGACTGTTCAGGTCCCATGAGAGCCCTTTTTTTGTATACAAATTGGATCCTAGATGATGGCTAAAACCATCTAAAAACAGCCTTTGAAAACAATCTTGATGAAAAAAAAGAGTCAAAACCCTGTTTCAACCTTTTTTCGGTACTCATTTTGTAGTGAAAAAGCCTATCTAGGGCCCGGATTTAGCAGAGAGAGTTTCCAGGCAACCCGTTTTGTAGACTCAGGCCTGGCATTCTGTAGAGAAAAAGACCGGGGCCACTACTAAATGGGTGGCTCCAACCCCACCTAGGTCATGGTGGGGCCATGTTGGGCCTACGTTGGGTTCATGTTGGTAGGAACCTGTGGGTTTTACCTTCATGTACATTCATGTAGTATTTCTGGTTGCTTTTAATTTGCTAACTCGGGCGGGCACAAAATAATTATGGACATGATTCCAGAACCAGGCTGCTTGAGGAACTCACAGGGATAGTTCATTTGCCATCGCAGCTCAACAGTTGCAAGCCCATAAATTGCGAACTATTCTGGCCGCACTCCAACCATGGAGAAACAGCAACCAAACTTTGGACCGCTTGTCACTGTCACTGTCAGTGAACAAGAATAAGGGAACGTTTCAAATTGTCACTTGCTGCCATTGGGGGGGCCATGCAGGAATCCCAACCAGAGTTGCAAAGTGTTACTTTACTGCGCTCGTCTGCCATGCGTTTCCCGGCGCAGGATTCTACTACGCTCAAAGTTCCAAAGTTTGCGCCAGATGCCCCAAGAAGTTTTACTGCAGCGGGGGAGGCAACAATGATGCAACCAAAGTTGCTTGTGCAGTTGGGGAGACCACGCTACAGTGGAGTGCAGTTTCAAACGATGCATGTGTATGTATGCCTGGATATGGCTTTGTTGATGGTCAGTGCATAGAGTGCACAAGGGGTTCTTACAAAAGCTCCACCGGAAATCAACAGTGCATGCTATGCCCAGAGAACACAACCACATTTTCTTCAAAGGTTTCTTCCAACTATTCATGCGTTGCAGAAGGGATGTTGGCTTCTGCCACTGGTGAGTCCGAGTCGAACGAGTCGCTATCCAACGTGTTTGAGGTGCCAGTCATCACTTTCAGTGTGTCCATTGTGGCCAATGGTACCTCTGAGACAGTCAGCGGAACAGTGGCCTCGGCACTGCGTAGCATGCTGGGGACGAGTGCCATCACAAAGGTAGAGCTTTCGAAGAGCCAGGAACCTTCGAACCGACGCTTGTCAACGGAACAGATCCTGATGGTCACACTCACGTACATGACACTAGAAGAGGCCGATGCATCGGCTCAAGAACTAGACCTTGACATCGCATCAGATGCTATTTTGGAGGTCTTGCGTGAGGATCCAGCGCTTGACATTGTAAAGGTGCGGGCATCCAACGCCTCTGTATCCCTGCTGCCCTTGACATGCCCAGAAAACGCTTTGGTACCACCTGGGGCAGCTGTTCTAGATGTCGATGATTGTGTATGCAAAAGTGGATACGAATTCATCGAAGATAGCAAGAGCTGCAGCGCCTGCGCAAGTGGAGAATATAAGACTGCCATTGCGAACGAGAATTGCCAGCCATGCCCCGCAAGAAAGACTACCTGGAAGGCTGGAGCCACTTCCATCCAAGATTGCATTTGCGAAGCAGGCACTTTTGATGAAGAAGGCGAATGCTCCGACTGCATACCAGGCTTCTTCTGCCCGGGAAGCGGGAAACTTCAAGAGTGTCCGCCAAATACGCAGAGTTTGGCCGGCTCTGCCAGAACAAGTGAGAGTTGTGTCTGCACTGCTGGTTATTTTTCGATTGGAAGCAGCTGTGAGCCATGCAGGGCAGGAAGGTACAAGGGAAACGCTGGTAATGAACCTTGCACCCAGCTGTGTCCAGCAAATGCTGAAAGCGATCTTGGTGCGACGTCTTCGGGCGATTGTTTTTGCATTGAAGGCCATCATGCAATACTTTCCTTCAATGGCCAATTGGATCGATGTGCGAGTTGCTCTTCTTACCCAGGTTTGGTTTGCCCAGGCGGTTTTGTTTTAAACTCAAGCAATCTGAGGGAGCATTTGCAACCCAGAGCAGCCCGAGAGTTCTACAAGACTGGAAACACAGCTGCCACAAAGTGTCGGGTTGTGTTGCCTGACGGATCCAACGCTTGCCTTGGAGGCAACCTATGTGGAGAGGGAACCACTGGGATGCTGTGTGGCGAGTGCCCCCTTGGCTGGTCCAGATTTGCTGACTTCATTCCTTGTGAGGCTTGCTGGGCAGGAAGCGCTGTTTGGCAGTTGGGCCTTGCAGTTTTGTTTGAGCTCACAAAGATTGCAGTGCCTAATTTTGTTCTGGCAGCTCTAGCCGCAATGGATTCAGCCAATGCCAATCTTCCCCTTCATACATACATGATCCGTGTGTTTACACAGTGGCTCACCGCCTGTGCCCTCATCACCCATTTCAATCTGGAGTTGCTGGAGACTCCATTCGCACAATCTGCAGCCGTGAGAGGTGAGTGTGACAACATACAGCTCCACGAGACAAGCAGTGCAGGAATAGACAGCAGGAATTTCACTGACATCGTTGCCAGGGTGCGGCTGGCGTGGCCACCCGAAGTGAACCGCGCTATGGTTGTACTGTTTGACATAGCAGCTGTAGTGCCCACACTTGCATCGGTTAAATTCTCAGCCCAATGCCTAGCCTTCGAACTCTTTCCAGCTCGCCCAGATGCACAGAGACTTGCACCGGCGCTATATTACATCTCTTTGCCAGTCCTGACAATCTGTGCTACGCTCGCAGTTTGTGCAGTGGCTGTGTATGCCGTAGTTCCCCTTGCAAGGCGTATTGGGGTTCATTTCAACAAGGTGGCGAGGGACAAGCAGAAGAAGAGGAAGCTGATTGAAGGGCTTTTGGGCGCTTGGGTCCGAAGTTTGCCACTGTCTGAAATTCCACTTGACCTGCCAAGATTTCGCGATTTGAATACTTTCATCGCCATTGTGGACTCTCATGAGGGCTTTGCAAGGGAACTCTGTCGGATCAAATGCACTACCGATCTTCGGCTCGATTCTCTTCTTGTAGATGCAGAAATCTCGCTCGAAACCTTCCAGTCTGTCCCGCAACACCTACTGTTTGCACAAGTTTCCAGAGAAGAGCTCAAGACCGTGTTCTAGTTGCAAATTGAACCTTCTAACATTTTTTAACCCTTCTGACATTCTGATTGCAGAAACGTGATTGATCCAGAATGTCATTACATGAAATGTCTTAGAAATCCTCCCCCAGCCCAGGCGATCAAGGAACGGCGGGTTCCTCAAGAATGTCTCCTTCGGATGGTTCAATGTGCCAGCACTTGTGCCAGCACTTGTGGAAGACAAGGCGGGACCGATTGCTAAAAGCCGTTTTGATTTTTCCCGAGAGCATCTGAGCGCAGGGTTCTTCCAATAGTGGGGGTCTGTATCTCATCTTCTCATCTTCTCATCTTCACATCTTCATCTCATCTTCACATCTTCATCTCATCTTCTCATCTTCACATCTTCTCATCTTCACATTTTCTCATCATCTTCACATCTTCTCATCTTCACATCTGCTCATCTTCACATCTTCACATCTTCACATCTGCTCATCTTCACATCTTCTCATCCTCACATCTTCACATCTGCTCATCTTCACATCTTCACATCTGCTCATCTTCACATCTTCTCATCCTCACATCTTCACATCTTCACATCCTCACATCTTCACATCTTCTCCTCTTGCCTTCTTGCCCTCTTGCCCTCTTTCCCTCACATCTTCACATCTTCTCCTCTTGTCCTCTTGCTCTCTTGTCCTCTCCTTCTTTTCTATTTCTCTTCTGAAGGCGGGGGCAGGGGCGGTGCCAACGAGACGGCACGAAACGCAACCCTTTCGCACGAAATGAGGTTCGATCGCCAAAAACTGAGGTAAAATTGCGATTTCAACTTGTCCCGCGCAACCCTTTCGCACGAAATGAGGTTCGATCGCCAAAAACTGAGGTAAAAGTGCGATTTGCAAGTCGTCCGGCGCAACCCTTTCGCACGAAATGGACGTTGGACGTCAAAAACTGATGTAAAATTGCGATTTTGAGGTGTCCATAGAAACGTCACTGATACCAGTAGTACCACACAAGGCGGTGGCGGAAGTTTCAAAAATAGGAAACCTATAGGAGAGGTTGGTTGTTGTGAATCAGGGATGGCAGAGCGAAGCCACTGATGGACCAAAAGGTGCTTATCTATCTATGTATCTATTTATCTATCGATCTCTCTCTCTCTCTCTTCCATCTAATTACCTATCTATCTATCTGTCTGTCTGTCTGTCTATCTATCTATCTCTCTCTCTCTCTCTCTTTCTTTCTTTCATCTGTCTATCTGTCTAGCTGTCTACCTGTCTATCTGTCTATCTGTCTATCTGTCTACCTGTCTATCTGTGGTGCAGTGTCATTCAGTGTACTGTAGTGTAGTGTAGTGGAGTGTAGTGGAATGTAGTGTAGTGTAGTGTAGTGTAGTGTAATGTAGTGTAGTGTAGTGTAATGTAGTGTAGTGTAGTGTAGTGTAGTGTAATTTAGTGTTGTGGAGTGTAGTGGAGTGTAGTTGTGTAGTTGTAGTTGTAGTGTAGTGGAGTGTAGTGTAGTGTAATGTAGTGAAGTGTAGTGGAAGGTAGTGTAGTGTAATGTAGTGTAGTGGAGTGTCATGTAGTGTAGTGTGGTGTAATTTAGTGGAGTGTAGTGGAGTGTAGTTGTGTAGTTGTAGTTGTAGTGTAGTGGAGTGTAGTTGTGTCTTTGTGTAGTTGTGTAGTTGTAGTGTTGTGGAGTGTAGTGTGGTGTAATGCAGTGTAGTGTAGTGAAGCGAAGCGAAGCGACATCTGAACCTCCAAAAGTGGTCCGAAATTCTGGTGCTTTTAACATTTTGACTTCGAAATGTACTTCGCGCAACAACGGCGTGCACTTTTTCGACATCTCAACTTCCAAAAGTCATCCAACAATGGTGTGTTTTGTACATTTCGACCTGACCACATAGGCTCCGCACCCGCTGCTTTAGCGAGCCTACTTTTCGATCCTCCAGAGCCACAAATCAATGGAAAAACACAGTGAATCGCGACTTTCCTACCTTTTCGCGCATCTCCATCTTCTTTCTTCTTACTCTTTCTCTTCTACTCTTCTCTCTTCTGATCTTTCTCTTCTCTCTGCCTCTGCCCTTCTCTGCTTTTCATCTGTCCATATTGTCGGAAGTTTGACTTCTAAACTTCCTTCGATCATGTCAATGTGTCAGTCAACCATCCAGTACATTGTAACTGTTGTTCCAGCTGGATCGCCGGGCGTTGGGGCTATCCCTCCTGAAGGTGCTCCCCCGCAGACTGACTCTTTGATAACTTTGCTAAGCTATATGTACATGTCATATACATATAGTGCGTTATAATGCACGTATATATATATATATATATATATACACATATATACATATAATTATAATTTTATTTGTATATTATTCTATGTGCTGGATCTCAGCTATTGTATTCAGCCCGTCATATTTTCTTTATGACCTCCTGGTGCCTCTTATTTGCCTTTATCTTCTATTGTCTCTTTGGCATTCTCCCCCGTAAGTTTTTTCACTAAAACGCAAAGAGAAGCCTGTTGGCAACATCCTTGCCTTAGGTGCATCCCTTCAAAAGCTTAGCTAAACAATGCTAAATACACGACCCCCAACATAGACCATAGTGATTACTCGGAGTAATGGGACGACTTTCGGGGATTGCTTGCTTTCATCATGCGCCATGCCAGGCATTTCTACGGATTCC